TTGAACACATTGTGCATTAGTTAAGAATAGATGTCACACTTTATGATACACCTAAATGCAAAGATATTCAAATTATTATCTGTTACAAAGTATTTTTCTTAGTTGTTGTACATGGACCTTTGTTAAAACCCTGTAACCTTTATGTACAACAACCTCTGCGCTACAAAAGCCCCCTGCTTCTCGTGTCATCAAGCTAATCAGCCAAGACGTTTATCGGAAAAAGTACCTCACACAATTGGGCTAATCTCTCCTGCTCCTGTTGTGTTGGGTTCGGCAGACTCGGAGCGGTCTTCCTTTCAGCCCTGCTCTAATCGTGAATCATTCCCAGTGTCTATTGCGCCAATGCCAGGGCCAGTGAATCAGGTAAGCCTAAGCCGCTTGGAGAGGTGCTCTTATTAAACCCTAGCCAGCCGCTGGAATTTTTCATCCCCCTCTCATTGTTAATTGGGGAGACTTGAGTCTTTCCCGGGAGTTGATTTGCAAGAGAAAGAAAAAAAGGAGCAAGAGATTATTGCACAGGAGGAGAGGCGCTTTGAAGGAGTGTTGATGGTATATCCTTCGCAGTATTCTGTTGCTAGCCAAAACCTGTTTGTGCCACCCGTTGTTTAAGAAGTTCGAAGGTGGATGGCGGCTTTCGCTCAGAGGTACAGCAACAACAACAACTCATGATGTTTGGGCCTTTACGGATTTACAATTGGCACTAGCTCTTTGTGCGCCTTACATGTTCTGACCCGGGGGCAAATCACTGTTTTCGGAGTCAAGGACATATTCGACAAACAGCGATCTCTTTTCTGATCCTCAACAACTACCTTCAAAGATAACGCGCTTTTGTTTCACTTGTCTGCCGTTGAATGGGCCGGGCACTCTTAACTTCAGCCCCTCTTGTCTTGGCGCCATAAGGAATTGGCCCTACTCCATCTCTCATTATCTCCTTTGAATTTCATTTTGTCATCGCATCCGCACCCCCTTTTATGGCACTCCATTAAAGGCCATGCTTGAGTTTTCTCTGAAGGTATTCGGAGCAGTTTTACAATAGGCGAAAAAGGGGGAGAAAAGTGGGCTTTAGCATTTAATGAGGGGCTCGCTGGGGGTGAAAGGAGGATAGAAAACGAGTGTGGGTTGTAGAGGAGAGAGCAGGAGAGGAAGAATGCGGGGACGGAGCACCAGGTACCATTATAGTGGCAGAGAAAGCTCCTGAAATACAAGAGCTGGGGCGCGCGCTCTGATCAGGACGGCAGTGAGCACAATTACCTTCTTTTCAAATCCTTCTGTGACACTGCAGGAGGAAGGAGGACTTTGAACGTTGAAAGGCAAGAGCTTGCTTTCAACCTCAAACGCGAGCAGGAAAGGGCTCTGAAATTTGTTCAGTGCTCCCCATCCACCATTAGGTTGTTTCTTCCTCTCGCCTCTAGGCATTTAAGCGCTTTTTGAAAAGATGTTAAGAAATTCAATCACCATAGAGAGAGTGAGGGAGAGAGGGAGTGAGGGAGTGGGATAGTTCTTTTTTCTTTTTTTTTTTTTTTTTTTTTTTTTTTGAGAGGCCTGCTTTCCTCCGGTCCGCAGAGAACTGGCCGGCTGCTTTTGTGTTGCGCTGAATAGAACAGCTAACTGGTAGAGGACTAGATGCAACAACCATGGGAAAAGAGGGGGAAATAAAAGAGGAATGGAAAATAAGGCCGGGCAAACGGGAGCAGGTCTGTTGGGTGGACGGTCAGACGCGGAGAGGTGTTGCGCTGTCTGACTTTTGAAAGTTGGATGTGTTTACTTTCCGGTCTTCATTAGCTACTTTTGACAGACGCCTGACAGGTGTAGACATAAAGTTCAGTTTCCATCACAATCCCACTTGTAGCTCGTCTCCCGATGCGAGTGAATACCGAGGCCAATAGGAAAAAGACAAGCGCGGACTGAGTGAAACATAGTACCAAATAATTCAATAATTCATGCCTATCTGACCCAAAATGTCAGGCCACATTATCATAGTGTTGAGGCCTGTATTTCTTCAAGTCATATTGACAAAACTACTAGTAATACTTCTGTGTAATTCCTCAGTTGTCCAGATCGATTTCAGGGCAAAAGAAGGTTAAATTATTGATATCAGAACTATAGAATCTCCTTGGATGTTTGGTGAAAAGTATTCTTAAAACTTTGTCCAAAATTTGTCCAAACTTTGTGAAATGAATTAACCCGCCAACATGTTTAGTAGCGCAATTGGAGCTCACATTTAAGTATTAGACAAGCTGAATTATATATATTTTTTAAGAATAATCAACAGATTTTTGTTTTTTCCTGTTATCAGAAGAATTTAAAACATATAGACATAGGTAAAAGAAGAATGATGCAAAAACTGAAGAACCATGTCAGTCCCTGTTACTATTAGCAAATACGATAAGTCTTTTATGTCATATTTATGCATCGATGTACTCTGTAAACTTTGTAATACTGGTCTGGTAACTCCAAGCTACCTCTTACCTCTTAAAGTCTTTCTCTTTCCAGTATAGTTATTAGAGACGTAAGATGGAAACCTGCAGAGACTGGACTGGACTGAGACGACTTGACCCGTTCATTGGTGTTTCTTTAACCACTTAGGGTTGTAGGGCCCTCTAATAAAGCCCTTAATGTGTGAGATCGTACCATGATGAACCCCCCTGTGGTCACTGGTGGGGGATAGTGCGCCCGTGACATCGCTGTGATTGAACTATTAGCCGCTTGACCTCCCTTTGAGGTAGGGCATCTGAGATTCAAGGGGGAAAAAACCCCCGAAGAAGACGATTCAAGAAAAAGAAAGAAAGTTAAAATATAAATTGGACCAGAACGTTAATCTCCTGGGTAGTCTTTTATGGAAGTTTTGGAAGCAGATGTTTTATGCTCGTATCAGTACTTGCTATCTTTACAATTTTAGCATCTCTGTCCGTAGCATTGGGTCCATTTATAAAACATCAAATATCTCTATGAAAGCAAGAAACATAGCTCATAAATAAGTAGCCTCTTCCCAAATGTAGCGCTAGATTTGCTACACAGCGCAAGCATTTCCGTACACAGCTATCCAGCGCTAGTTTACAGTCATAGCGTGTTTTCATCCATGTCAGTAAAGCCATTCCGAAATCCCTTTATGTTAATATTGAGCTTTGCACGAGCAGACCTATTAATCCAGCTTTAACCGCATAAGTGCCATTATTCCCTTAATAAGATCATGGGCTGTGCAGTATGGGATTAAATACTTATATCATAACTGACGCTGTCATTTTCCGCGGATGGGAGCCTCTGTGGTTGTCAGTTCCACATTAGAAAAATCTTTGGATCCGGTGCCAGGGCTGTGCAGGGACGAGACGAGGCCAGAGGCAGGTAATGGGAGTGGGAGAGCGAGGAGAATGAACATGGGGCCTATGGGTTTTTAGTGTCATGCTCCTATAGCAGGTCTTTAGCTTAGGCCCTGTTGTAGTCTGAAGTGGTCCAGAACTAAGTACCTAAAGCTGTTTTCAAACCAGGCCCTCTCTTTTGCTCATAATTGGTCGTTAAATGACATTGTTTGCTACATGCCTAGTAAAGAGGACTTGCAAGCTGGTAATGCAGTATTTGTTGTACCAGGGTAGCAATTTTTCCAGGCTCATTTTTGTAGGTTCACTTTTATAAAAGTTACAAGAACTGCCAAAAATTCCAAAATGTTCAAAGCATTTTTAGAAGCAGAACAAGTTTGATGTACCATGACAAGGTTTGAATGACAAGGTTTGAATAGAAATAGAAAAGGAGTCATATTGGTATAAGAAATACAGTAAGCCAGTAGGATATTCTGAATAAGTTGGTGAAGAAAATTTGAATTTATTGTCTGAGATATGAACAAATAATCATGACAGTTATTTATACAATTTAAAGGTCTGGTGTAAGTGTTGTCCAAGATTTTGGCTTAAAAATATTTTCACTATTTATGCTTTCTATTTTTATTTGATACTCTACACGCTTTTCTGTGCAAAAAGAGAAAAAAGTGCCATGTCATGTCCAAAATCAAATCTCTCAAGACCTCGAACTTCCACTAACCTAGAGTACTCCAGATCACTTGTATCTTATTGCATAGCTTAGCTCGTACAGCTCCTGTTCAAGTGGTAAGATAGACCTGAACAGGCTAATACAATGCCACAAGGCCTTTTCGACCTCCATACATGTCAGGTGAATGGTCAGGTCAAAGGGGAAAGGTCAGGGCTGCGTTTCGGAGCTTAGCCCTTGAACTCGACACCACGTTTATTCCTTTTACCCAGCATGCCACAGTCAAGTCTTAAATTAGCTTGCAGACAGAATAAGAGATTTGGTGTGACAGCCGCAGAAGACGGGGAGTGGTGCGAGGCAATGAAGTACAATTACTTCATTATATGTACAATTTGTATACTTTTTAAAGTTTTCAATGGATACTTTTACTTAAGTTTGTTTTCTGCTCTGTTATTTATATGAATTAGTACAACAGACTAATGTTTGGTTTTACAATAACTACATGTTCTTGTGAACCTCATAATGTTCCTACAGTATTACATACAGATGAGTACAATTATTCATATTGTACATCACATGACAATAATACTGTCAGTGCTAATAATTCTCCAAAATACAGCAGCTTTTTACTTCAAACTTCATTTGAACTTGAGTATTTTACTATATATTATTATAAATTGTATGCCTTTAGTAATGTTTGCCCTTTATCTTTGAGCGCTGATCCGTGACTGTAGAAGAGAAGACTTACGCCTAGTATACATCACCTCCTTCATAGGAATCAATTTAAATAACTTGCAAAATGTTAAAGGTAGCATGTTTTGATTGCATGATATATAGAAGTTTGGCTGTCTTTTCACACCGTCTGCCTCTGAACTTCCTTATACGGTTCACTGACTGGAAAAACTACCTGTTATGCCCAATGGGTTACAGCTGTACAAACCTTGCCTCCCTTTCTACTCTAGACAAACTGCCCTACTTGGCGTACTTTGTTCACGTTTCTTCTTTTTTTTTTCTGTCTGCAGAGGATGAGAGTTCAGGCCCACCTTATCACCGCGAGAGGAGGAACGCCATCAGCTCCGAGGCCCCTACGACAGGTGCACCCGACCGGAGTGTGACCGAGGAGCCCTCCACCTCCACAGAAGAGCGCCCCTCCCAGCTGAAGAAGGAGCTGCACAGTACCCTGCCACACCTGCCCGAACATGCCCTGCCATACCGGGGCACGCTGTTCGCCATGGACCCCCGAAATGGTTACCTGGACACACACTATTGTAAGTGCTTTATTTTTAACACGCGGGCTAGTTGATTAAAAGTGCACTGTTTAACTTATCTGATGGGGAATTTGGCACCTTCTCATCTTTGTTATTGCTTTGCCAGGAATATTACACAGTATGGCATTAAAGTTCTCCTTCTTGCTTTTTTGCCATTACAGGTGTTTATTTCTTGAAAAAACATGCATTCTTACAGTGAATGGGGTCGCCTCTTCACAGATCTGACCTATGACCCTAGTGAGTCACCTGCAATAACCTCTCATTGGACACAAGCAGGTGGCGGACAACCAAAAGTTACATAGTGCACCTTTAATGCTTATTGCCATTAGCATACAGGAAAAAAGATGCGCTCACATTTTGGGGTAATGGTTACTTTCAGAGTGTCCTGGCTTCGAACAGTCAGGTAATTTTTGTTTGTGTTCAAAAATATCAATATAATAATTTTTAATATTCGTTTACCAGTATCTCAGTTTTACATTTTTACTTTATGTCAATATTTGTGACCACTTTCACCACCTACGGAGCTTTTGTGTAGTCATGTGCAGCCTGCAGTTTGTTTTACACTAGAGAGATTTTGTAATCCAAAAAACGACAAGTTAAAGTTAAACAAGACTTTCTGCAGTCTGTCAGATTTCTAGTACCAACTGTAAACTAATTCTACAAAGGCAACAATCACTAACCACTACCATATGAACCCAAAACGCAGTACCAACACATTTACCTGCCCATAAACTAATAATTACACATGTACTCAAAACACGCTCGCCTTGTTTTGCCTGGGAAGTTTAGTATGTGGGGAACAGGCCCGGCGTAGCTCCTTAATTCCCTCATTAGGGGCCTGTCTGAACGCAGTACTCCACTTTCTCTCATCAACGCTCACTTCAAAGCCCCCAAAGCAGCAGCAGCAGCGGAGAGTCCAACCCCACCACCCCCTAACACTGGCTCTCTGTCTCTCTCTGGGACCTGCAGGCTGCGTGAGAGAACCAGAAACTAATGGATGATGCTCCGGAGATTGGCCCTGGCGAACAGCTCCGAGCAAGATTATTTGGGGGGTGAGATAGTCGGTGGTGGTAGTCGGTCGGAATTGCGCGTTGAAAAGAAAAGAACAGGAGATAAATGATGGCGGAGTTAGAAGCTGATTAGGGAGGTTAATTCTGCAGCGACCATAGCTACGACTTAGCCAGGAGACAAGGATTTGATGTGATGGCTTGTTTAGTTTGGTTAAATTGGCTCTGAATTGGCGCTGGCCGGAGTGGGACAGAGTGATCTTAATCCAACTGAGGTAATGAAAACTCCAGTGGACCCCATCCTCCAATTTTTACTGTAACTCTATTTATCCAGGCACTTCATTAGTTACTTTGGTGCTTGGGTGCCTAACAGTTACAAGGGTGCCTCCCGAGGAAAAAGGTTACTTAAAAGCAAGACATGGGTGCAGTGGACATAGGACCCTGGAGGGCAAAACATTACTGCCAATTACATCCTGACCTAACTCAGCAACACTGCCACTTCTCATTTTATGTGTGCGCGCAAGGGGTATGTGCGAAGGAGCGCCGGAGGTTCCAAGTCACTGAAGCCTGCTGGGGGTGTAGTGCCGGGGGTAGGAGGGGGGAGGAGGGGGTCACAGAGAGGCTTAGGGTCATGTGGAAAAATCACAGGCTGAAATGGAGAGTTCAAAGGCAGCGGGAGAAGTCAAAAAGGGCCGCGGAGCTTTAAGAGGCTTTCTTTGTGCAAGGAGACTCGAGAGGCTGGAAGACCGCAATCATGGAAGGAAGAGGAGAGGGAGCACAGAGCGGCATGCTGGGAAAGAGCAGCCGGAGTGGACTTCCTTCTTCTGAGACCCCTTCTATAGTTTAGTATGATTTAAAGGAGCCATCGTATGACTTGCAGTATATCCAAATACATCTTTTTAAGCTTGAGTCCAGCAAAAGGCTGACCAAGTAGAATTAGACTTGGCATGAATTTAAGTAATTTAATAAAAGTCCAGTTGTGCTTCAACAGTACAAAAAGTACAAAAGTCAAGCCAGCCCTCATGTCTGTTTTATGTAAGTACTATGTAAGTGTGTAACTTGTTTGATTACTGCCCTTCAACTACAGTAACTTTATGAAACATTAAATATTTATAATGTCTTGCTGTCCTTTGATATTGTGCACTATTACGTATAGCACATCCCTGAGGGCTCAGGTGGCAGAGGGGCCACTCTCTCTGATAGAAGCAGGCCTGTGTATTCTGTGGGTCAGTGGGGCGAAAGTGTCCCTCCTTCCTACCACTTCAGTCCCATTCTTCTTCCTGTTCCTCTGCTTTGAACCCAGGGCCAGTAGCATCTGCCCGCGGCGCTCCTCGAGGTGTAAAAGCCAGTGGCATCTGGGTCTGTGAGGGTTTTGTCACCTCTTTAATGTATCCCAGGTGTGTACATGTGTGTGTGTACGTGTGTGTATGTGTGTGTGTACATGTGTGTTTGTGATGGAGAGGGGCCCTAAGTCTTTGTGCTGTGCTAGCACTGTGCACCACGCCGCGCAGTAGCGACCAGGTAAATCCGATTACTCTTACGCTGCCGTGTGTCAGTGCTTAATGTGGCTAAATGTGGTGGCACCTGCAGCCTCCCCACACCTGGACAGCGGTCGTTTGCACGGCGGCAAAGCCCTGGGAGGCGTGGGAGTTGAACAACACAAAGATCCAAAAGGGGCTTTATCGTCAGGGGTCTGTGCACTCACTAAATCTCTACCATTCACCCAGACTGCTGCTCTCCCACTCAGCCAGCGTCCACAATCTGAAACTGTTTACTCTGGTTTTACACCCACTTCAGTGTAGCGTACAAGAGGCACTGAGGAAACATTGCCCCTTTTGTTAGCATTAGCTAATCGTGATGATGCCTGAGTGTTAGCCGCTTTTCTTGGGCAAACACGGGATAAGAGTCCATATCCTTCTTACCACAACACTAATACATGGGGCTTTAGTGTGAAGAAAGGATTGGCAGGATTAATGAGGGGGGAGTCTGTTTTAAGATTTTAATTGTGTGAAGAGTGAATGGGCTGCGCGGCAACAACATCTGTTTACATTGTGTCACGATTAGGCGGTCAGCAGTCCTACAGAAGTCTTGAGATTACTTGCAGACGAAGAGTGGCTTTCTCCAGGGGGATGTTTCTTATTGTCAGTTCTTAAACACTTCTTTGAAAAATATAAAACATCTCACAACAGACCAGTTTTCTGCAGACTTTGACTTTGAATGTCTTTGGCTTGTACCCCATTGGTCCTCAAGTCTTCTGTCTCCCTCCTTTAAAAAAAATCTTCCTCCGGTCTCACTGGCAAGACCTAATCCTCAGAGCAAAGCCTCTCTGTCCTTGCCTGATCTTAGAAACCAAGTCCTCTAAGCTGGAGGCAGTGGAGGTACGGATATGTCAGACCATGGATCCCTTCACATGTATCACCGTAAACCTCCACTCTGAGCCTGGCCAGAGGTGACTGCAGCCTGGATGAGAGTGGCCCCGCGCTGAAGGGGAATATGGGGGCCGACTCAGGGTTAAAACTCCAAAGTGCCGAGGCGCGCTGATCTCAGGTCTACTCGGCCGTAGCACTCCAGCCGCTGCCCTGGCGTCAGTCTGTCTGCCTTAATATCAAAATGCAGCTGACCACTGAAGTGAATGAGCTAGCTGTCACCAAAGAGAACGTGATCCACACAACAATGACCCCAGGACCTCTACACTTAATTACAGTGCCTGCTCATTCGATTCATATGGACTTTCACTTATAGGCCAGGAAAAAGCTGTAAGCTAAGTAATACAGTTGAAGTAAGTTACAAATATTTATTTTCTAGTTGCTTAATATTGAATTACAAAATGTAAGTGAATCACCATACTGCTGGACATGTGTGTGACTCTGAGTGTTGGTTTTTCAAATAACCACAACTAAGTACAGGAATATGGAAAGGTATAGGGTGTATGTGGACATAATTTACTGAGTACTCAAGCCTGAAATCCATGACAATACAGGATAACTCAAACATGTATGAATCAAAAATACAGCTTGGAGTAAACTAATGATGAGGGAACACCCCTGTAACACGGTTAAAGCTCATAAAAGTTGATTTTGCATATTGACAACCTTAAGTTAACTTTTCTTAACTAAAATGTAAATCTAAGTTATAATGTAATGTAAGTTAGGTATGCTACAGGTGAACATCAGCACTTTAATAAAATGTGTACACTCAATACACTCAACTCAGTATGCTCAAATGCAGTAATTATCCCCAAACTTTGAAACATGCACAGATGCATAGCACTCATTATCAACCTTGTCCCTCATCTGGAGAACAGTCACCAGGGTCAGCACAAAAAGGCAACTTACTGTTAACTTTTTTAATGTGTTTGGCGAGGCCAACCCAGGCATAGCACTGTAACATTGCTTGACTAAGTTGTGTTGCACTTTTTACACTTCAAACTTGCTGAACATTGGCTGGGGATCGGTTTAAATACACTTCCCCAAAGAGCTGTGCCTGCGGTGAGAGGGACACGTGCCTGTTTCCAAGTGTTTGCCTTTGTGATTGTTTCAATATTGGCTTTTGAGCGCGGTGGCACGCTGTAGTCCCCCAGCATTGTGAGAAGTGAGAGAAGCCTGGGGCACACTGCAGGCTATGCACAGGGACCCCTTCCATCCAACCCTTTCATCAAGAAAGAACAACACGGGCCGTGCTCTGCTGTGGCCCCATGGTCCACTGCACCAGGGATAATCAGATCATCCTCTTTCATATAGCTTATTAGAGACTTCTCATGCTGTAAGATAGGCCATATTCTCACATGTACATGCTCGATGATTTAAGGGGGGTTAAGAAGAGTTTGAAGTGCTTCGAATACCCACTTGTCTTGGGGTCACGCGGTGCTCCGGTTCGCGCAAAGCTGGTGCATGTGAGCGAGATATCTCCAAAAATGGCAGCCCGTGTGAACAATGACAAGATTAAATGCGAACAGGCTAAAGAGGAATTAAGAAGAATTTAAGATGCTCAAAT